AAGCCGCTCCACCAAGTCGAACCGCAGCCGGGGTAGCTTCTTGGATACCGAGTCCCAGCGCAAGCCCAGGGACTACTCCCCATAAACTGATATTGAACGAGGATGAAATGGTCGAAGTGGATGAGTTCCAACACGGACCATATGGAGGAAAACTGATCTTTTACGCGACGATATCCACGATTTGATTTTGTAATGAACGAACATAATACCTTGCTATAGCGCGCGAGTTAATGCTAGTATTGTACATATGCACATATAGCAAATATACTTCAACCGAAACTATATTTCACATGACCATCCTGTGGAGTTGATCGATATGCACACAAGTATTCGGACAATACGCTTACGATACTCGTACCAATCCAGTCTCATTCCTCTGTATACCAAGTCTCGAACATGCCTCCAGTGCCTCCCAGATCCAACACCTCGCCACGTCCCCCTCCTCCAACGCCCTTCTCAACGACAGTCCACAGATCAAACGGCACCAACTCATCCTCACTATCCACCATATCCTCATCCTCATCGTCCTCATCCCCGCCACTAACACCCACATACGCCGTAACCCCCCTACAACTAGCCACACACTCATCCATCAAATTCCAATCTCCATCCGGAACCGCGAGTTCCAACTGCGGGTCGCCGAGCCCCTCGTAGCGCATGATCGGTGGCGCGCCGTTGGATAACGTGTATGTTGTTTCGCGGCCCGTGAAGCGCGAAGTATACGTGTGGGGCTCGCCGCGCTTGGAAGGCAGGACGACGGTGTGTGCTTCCCAGTCTGCGAGGGCGGCGTTGTATTGGGGCGGAGTGAGCTTTTGTTTTGTGTAGAAGGAATTGGCGAAGAGGCGGGAGCGCGCGGTGTGGCCTTCTATTAGGGCGATGGCGGGGTGGGGGATGTAGCGTGTTGTTGTTTTCTCTTCTTCCCCATTGATACCTCCATGTCCATCCCCGTTTGTATTGTCTTGTGAAGTTGGAGTCGAAGCAGCAGCAGACCACGGCGCCGCAACACCCATTCCTCCCTCTCCCAGAAACTGATTCCAAGGCTTCACTCCACTGACCCAAGGACCCGTGTCGTACTCCCCCACAGGACACATAGCCTCACCTCTCGGATCATAGATAACTTGGTCCCACGAATCCGCTTCTGTTCTCCGGCCCCAGATCGTGACTTCGAACAAAGTGATGGTGTCGCGGACTGCTTTCTCAAAGTCTCTGGCGCGCGCTACGCCGATGAGTGCGGCGCTGTGTTCGATGGTTTCGTCAAGCACGGTCTCGTAGGGCAGGATGTGCGCGCTTTCTTGCCAGATATCCAGCAGGTAGAACCAGATTGATTGCATGAGGGGCGTGTCGATGGGGTGGAAGTCGGCGAAGTAGTCGAGGAGTGTGGCGGCGCAAGTCCAGTATTTTGCGGTGAAGGCGGATTCGCAGGGATCGCAGGGCCAGAGGTATTGGGGGCGGTGCGGACATGGTGGGTGGGTGAGGAGGGATTTGATGCGCCTGTAGGCGATGGAGAAGTCGATGTCGTTGCGGCCGAATGTGTAGCGTAAGGCTATTGGGGGTGTTGTGGAGTGTTCTGTTACTAGGATGATGGGTGGCGGCGGCATTGCGACGGGCTTTAACGAGCGAGAAGCCGTCGCGTCGGCGACTAGACCTATGTGAGCTGACTTTAGTTAGTGGTAAGAGTGTTGTTTGCTGAGGGCGAGTAGCAATTGAGTTGATAGAGTAGTGCCAAGACTGCCGCCTTGCACAATATTATTATGTGGACGGCTCACAATAACAGTCAAAATAGAGGTGAAAGAGATCCATCGCGTCCGAAGAACCATACCTAGTCGCTCCCGTCACGCCTACCACTTCGACATGCGACTAAGCGTACTCATCCTTCCATGTTGCATGTTGCTCAACAGCGCTTCCTCTAGAGCCGACTGACTGATACCTGCATCTGTCCGATGTGAGTACATCAATCTAAAGGTGGGTAATCCCAGGACTCACCATCAATGTCGCTGAAGCTACTGCCCATACTCGGCGTGCCCTCGCTACCCTCTTTTCTGGATCGCAGTCCTCCGCGTCGTGGACTACCGAGTCGGCCTAGCGCCGCGCGGTGGTCCGAGGCAGGGCTCATAGGGCTCTTTGCGGCTGAAGGAGGTCCGCCAGAGCTAGTCATCGACGACGCCGTCTCTGTGGTCGCAATTGACTGCACGTCCATAGACGTTTGTCTGACAGGCGGAGCATTCCTTGCGCGGGCAGGTTGCAGAACCTTTTGCTCCTTGCTGCTACTAGCTCGGAAGCGTGAGTCTTGCGCGTACTTGCTAATGCTTGGTTTGGTCCTGACTGAAGTTGCAAAAGGTAGACTTGTCTCGTGTGAGCCTGAATCGTCAATCTCTTGGGTCCCGTCTCCTTCTTCGAACGTCGAAAGCTCTCTCGGTTTCTTCTGTTGGAAACGCGGCGGGCGCTTGAAGAGTTGGCTTCGATGCGCTGGATGATCAGTATCCGATAGCGATGATGAGCTCGAGGACGACGAATCGGGAATGTCTGGAGAAGCTGCTTCGTGATTTCGATAACTTGGTGGTGAGATTGGCGCGTTCGCTCGGTCTTCAGACCTTCTACTTGTCAAGTTAGGTCGCTGAGTGGAGCGTGTAGACAAAGTTCGGGCTGGAGCCTGAGTAAGTGCCCGGGATTGAGTAATCGTGGTAGTAGATGGTGTCCTCGAGAGCGAAGGTGCTAAGATATGTGAGAAAACATGTCTACTGCGGCGTCTGAAATGCTTGTCGAATAACTTACCGGGTATCACTACCTCTGCGCCACGCAGACTCGGACTGTCCTTCGAGCGCCCTGCTAATGCGGATGTAGTCCTCCCAGCTACATTTTGTCAGCAAGATCAAATGATGCTGAAGCTTTACATACCCCCAGATCCGGCACTTCCACCCCTTCGCATCGCAACGCCACCCACAGCAGTCAGCGTGCTACCACCAGTCGGCGAAGATGACGGGGCAGCATTCGAGATGCTGACTTTCTTCATTTGGTTACGAACGTGATCTAGATGTCGCTCATATAGCCATGCAGCTTGCTGAAGAAGGAAGGTTGGTGGAACCTGGAACTTGTCGGCTCTGTCACATGGTCAGTGAGGCTGATGCAGTGCGTAGCGTGCATGTACATACAACTCGACCCCTACGATAGATTAGTATTTGTTAGAGATCACTTATGTAAGGATTCCAGAGTGCTTACAGTTCAGATCACTAGTCTTGGAAGACTTGGAAATAACCTTCCATAGTTGGCGGTCTCTCTCAGCATCCCATTGTGCCTATGTCGCGGTCAGATGAGCCCCGGAGACGCGGACAGATGCTACTTTACCTGCGGAGGATCTTCAAAGTCACCCCGGATGAACGGGAGACGTATCAGAGCTGTGAACTGAACTGACGACATTAGAAATGATCTGGTCTAGCTGCAAAGACGTAGAGTGATGAAGGGGTGGTTGGGTGAGGTGTAGTGATGCGGCTAGGCGATCGAATGAAGTAAGGCGTGAATCGATCTACGCCCGGGCTTGTGACCGATTAGGCCGGAGCAGCAATCACGTAACAATGGAAGTAGACGACTACCCCAAACAATCTTGAATCCGTTTACATGCATTTCCGTTTATCGTGGCTCAGTCTTCCAGAGTTAACCGTGAATAATTGACCCTCGCGTATCAAGGCAACCATCGCAGCCTAGATCAAGCACCGCCACACCTTCCTCGAGAAAGCCACAGCGGCCCCGCTGAAGCATAAAATACTCGACGCGGGATCGTGCATAAATCCCCACCAAACACAGTCACTTCCCGAACTCAACACCAAGAAATCAACTCACTGGAAAAAATGTCGGCTCAAGCGGTCACCACTATCGACATCCAGGGCAAATTGCCTAAGATTGCATCTGGAAAAGTGCGCGATCTCTACGCCATTGACGATGACACACTACTATTCGTTGCGAGCGACCGTATATCAGCGTATGACGTTATCATGGAGAATGCAAGTTACATCTACCAGACTTCAATGACACTTGGAATAGAACCAAGAGCCTCAGACTAACTAATACCCCAGGGCATCCCCGGAAAAGGCGCCCTCCTAACCGCCATGTCAATATACTGGTTCAACTACCTACCCACCAAAGTCCCCGGCCTAAAAACCCATTTCCTCTCTTCAGATCTGCCCCCCGCAATCCAGGACCAAACCTCGCTCAAGGACCGCAGCATGCAAGTCCGACGTCTGCGTATCCTTCCCATCGAGTCCATAGTCCGCGGCTACATCACCGGATCAGGCTGGTCCGAATACACCAAATCGGGAACCGTCAACGGAATCAAACTCCCAACCGGACTCGTCGAAGGCCAGAAGCTACCGGAGCCACTGTGGACACCGAGCACCAAGGCGGAAGTAGGCGGCAAGGACGAGAACATCAGCCCTGAGAAAGCGCGAGACATGATTGGTGATGCGAAGATTGCGCAGCGCGTTGAGGAACTGTCACTTGCTATCTACAGTGCTGCTGCGGATCGCGCAGAGGAAGTTGGTATTATTCTCGCAGACACAAAGTTTGAGTTTGGCGTTGATGAGATGGGCGAGGTGGTGCTTGTTGATGAGGTGCTCACACCGGATAGCTCGCGCTTCTGGCCTAAGGAGTCGTGGGAGAAGAATCTGGGCAAGGCGCAGCCGAGCTATGACAAGCAGTTTTTGAGGGATTGGCTCACGGGTGAGGGGCTGAAGGGGAAGGAGGGGGTTGCGGTGCCGCAGGATATTGTGGAGAAGACGGCGGCGAAGTACAAGGAGGCTTGCGAGAAGCTTACGGGGAAGAGTGCGTGAGAGGTGGTTGCAGTCGCAACCAAAGTCGCATTGAGGCGGTCGAGATGTGAAAATTTGGCGCGTTGATGTCATTTCTGACACTCATGCGTATATAATAGCAGCAATGGAAGGCATTGAAGACAGAACACTTGACATGTAGTGATATGTATATCGAAGAAAAAAGCCCTATGTATACATCTACTAGTCTCTCCGGCCCTGTACAAGCCCCTCCCTTTCTTCCTCATCCTCATCATCAATATGCTTCCCCGGGTGCCGATACAGCACGTAATGCTGCAGCATGAAGATAATATCAAACACAATAGTGATGTTACCCAGTCCAAACTTGACTGGATTACCAGTAACACCACTCCAATCATTCTCCAGCGCAGAATCAATGCACAACTGTGCGAGCGAAAGCCAGCCACCCGCAAAGTCTAGGAGCATAGGGTATATACTCCACCCTAACGTCGACTTGCGCTTGTAATTGACCCAGGCCTGGGGTATATACTTGAGGAAGACGGTGAGGAGTTTGACGTATCCGAGCGTGTAGATCTACTTCGTATTAGTGAAACCGCGTGAGGTTTGAAGATGTAAACCCAAGATAACTCACAACATCGATCCACGCCCACCCTTCAGCATCATATCCCCGTCCAGCCCCATTCATCTTAACCAAAGCCACCACAACCCCAATAGCAAGCACACACCCCCACCAAACCCCCAGTATAACCCGACTAACCTTCTGCCTCTTGCCAATCTCAAAGCCCCATATCCTCTCAAAGAACTGACTATATATAATCACGCACATGACCGCGCCATGTGCCGCAAACAAGAAATCGTTGAACCGCACTGTCGTCTCCGGTGCGTCAGGATGACGTGCCGCATATTGCGCTTTTATCGTTGGCGAGTAGAGGAAACAGGCGGTGGAGATAGTGTAGCAGGTGAAGCCCAGGACGTTGAGGGTGGGGAAGTCGATGGCGAGGCCGAGCGTGGATTTGCGGAGGTAGTTCGATATGGGTTGCGGGTAGAAGGATAGGGACCTGTGTTGTGGGGTTGGTTAGTTGGGGCTGACAGGAGGAGGGATGGTAGGTGGGTGGTACTGACCACGACAGGAAGTAGGCCCAGCCCAGTACGCGCGATATGGCTCGCGCAAAGGCTTCGAGCTCGGGGGTCATCGTCATGGTGCTGGAAGGCGAGGGCTGCACATGTGCGATAGGTATTGTCTGGCGTGCGTGTTCGCCGTAGACGAAGCGAAGTTGGAGCAAGTGGAAGACAAAAGAACGTGTGCTATCATAGACAGCCAGAAAACAGAGACATGTTGCTGAGACAAGTACTCATGGTGAGCGCCTGATGCTGCGGCGTGTACTGGACATGTGCGATTGCGACAGTGGAGATGCGCGCCTGCCCGCGGAACGGATGACAGGGGTCGGAGTGCCTGCTTGCAACGCCGAAGTGCTCATTCGCCGTCGGGTTCATGTCAACCATGTCAACCATGCCGACTGCGCATCGTGCCGGGTTTCCATTTCAGCCATAACATCGGAATTACATACATTCTGTATTACAAAGAGTTCGGCATTAGAGACGAGGTGATGTACTTTCCTACTTTACAGCCTTATCAACACTCAAGGTATAACTTTAGTCCCTCTGCCTGTGCCTCGAAAGACTGCTGCAGACTCTCTCCAAGCGTATCCTTCAAGACTCCAGCAAACAACCCGTGAAACACTTCTATCGACTCATACAACACTGTGCCATTGCCTATGTCGCTGAGCGCCTGCCAGCGCGTCGAGGCAATAGCGAGTTCCCCCAAGTAATCCCATGCCAATCTTCCCAACTCGGGTTGCACATGAGTTATGCGCTCAGCGGACAACTGCGTGTTCAGGAGATTGTCGGGCGTGTCCTTGTTCACCGGCAGCGGAAGCGCAGGAATCTGCACTCGGAAGAAGAGGAAGTTGCCCTCGACCGGTCGCTGCTCAGGCAGTGTGATGTTGCCCTTGGCTGAAGTAGTGAGGGCATAACGCACAAACGGGTTCCAGGCTGCGTAGTTGGCGAAGTCGGTGAGTACGTCCCAGGCGGCGGGGACGGTGCTCTTGATTTCTATGCGTGCGGTCGCGTTGAAGACGCCGGGTGCTGTGGCTGGGAGGTTGGTGTATTCGGACTGGGCGAGAGCCGCAGGGAGGAGCGTCAAGGAGACGAAGCTCAGGAACTTGGACTTGAACATATTGGATGGATGGGTTGAGGGTTTTCAGCCTGGGAGTTGCATAGTTTTGTACCGGAGGCTACCCGAGGTTTATTGCTACATTAGCCACATCGCTTAGGAGACGATGCGAGTGTCTCCTGGGATAAATGTCGCCGGCTCCAAGAATGGTAATCTTCATAAGCTTCGGGGCAAATCTCCCTGGGCGGATTACTGGAAAAGAACGCCAATAACTCTAATGTTCGTACTTGTGGATGGGACGGACACCAACGGACGGTGCCTATGTACTGGCCCAATACTTGTACATCACGGACACTAAGCTCACCGCTGGATACTGGCTATCATGACCGTGAGGTTGGAGATGTAACCTTGGAAGCACGTGCAAGGCGCGGGACAAGTCGCGGCATGTGGGCCATGATATGCATGCGGAGGACGTCACTCCAGTCTCTCGGAATGCATCGCGGAACGCCGCATGTGGCTGCCCAACAACCTGCTCAGGCATCTACCGTGCTCGCTGCAGTCACTTGACATCACTAGCAGCGTGCAATCTGCGAATGACTAGAGTCGGCCAAAGAGGGGCTAGATAGCAGCGCAAAGGGCGGTGCCGGCGGCCGTGATGGGGTGGGCGAATGGAAGGCTGAGGGCGCGACATGCACCTGCATAAGCTATGAGCTGCCCCTCAGCACCGCGACCTGGCCAGCGACACAACTAACTGCACTTACGACGCCCTGCATACATATCTCAACACTTGGGAGCTTAGATAGAGCTCCATCTTGACTCACCTCTGCGCGCATATCCAGACTTCTCTGTATTACGCGCTGAGGGGCCCCATATCTAGCGTGCCGCGTGAAGCTCCAGCCCCGCGGCTCAAACAACAGCCACAACGACCCTCCCGACGATACCGAGTGACTACCAGAGATAGGCCCCGATAACGCGCCGAGTCAGGAACAAGGCACCAGTGTTGTTGTGTATAAGTGTCTTGCTGTGCAAGCACGCGCCCGCCACCTCCACGAGTCCTGGTCACGGAGGCGCATGACGCAACGCCCGTTTAGCATTCATCCCAAGTCACCCGCCGCCGTCCTCATCCGTCGCTACCCCCACAACCTCTCTCGCGCCCACGACACCTACCACTTCCTCACGACTGAGCTAGCGCTCCAACAGACCCTTCCACACGCTCCTCCGCAGGTTATATGAGCTCATCGCCCAACAACGCCGCCGAGCATACGACGCCCGTCTCCAACCTCACCTACTTGCACAAGCAGCAGCGCAAGGGCACCAAGGTACAGGACACACCACAAGCACGCGGCCGCAACACGTCGAGAAATGAGTTGGGAAGAAGAAATAAAGCGGCCGGCAAGGTTACGCGCATATACCCGAGAGAGATGTACGTGAAGCAGCACCTCCCCTTCCTAGATGGAAGGAGCGATGGTGACTCTTGTTCGTATCCAAACGCGACTGACTGTCACAGAACCAAGTCACCTTCGTCAGCCAAACGTCTGTCATCCACGTCTCCACCCACAAACTACCATGCCACTACGTCTCCATTACTATCGGCGATCGGTGCCACTCGAAACACGGCCGCACAATACACCAACGAGTGGGCCAAGTCGGTTCCCTTCTTTCCAAACTCTGGCTCCCCGGGTAATGGTGGCATCGCTATAGCCAGCTCTCCGCCTACCTTTCATAACTCGCCTGGTGCACGAGACGGACTGTACGCACCACAGGCCATGTCAAACTCACCTCCAGGTGCACGACCCCTGAGCCACCCCAACCAATACACAAACTTTGGTGGCCGCGTACAGAACTCGCCTGGAAGAGACCGTAGAGCATCTGTGTACTCTCAACAAGGCGTTCGCCCGCCCTCACAACAGTTCATGCCGAACCCGCCGCTGCCGCATCAACCTCAAGCACACTACTATGGCTTGCCAAACATCGACTTCGGCCTCAATAACGGCCAGACCGATGGCATCCAGCCAGGGGAAGGAGGCTACTTCTGTGGCTTCGACACTCTATCCATGGCAGGAGACGAGGCAGCTCGGTCGACAGAGAACGTGCTGCTTGTTGGGTCGCAAGGTGGGCTCGACGTCTTTCGCGTTGAAAAGAGCAAGATGGACATCGTAGGTCGACTGGAAGGACTTCGGGGCGCTGTAATAGGCGCCAAGATCTTGCCTTGGATCTCGCGGCACGATCCCTTAGCTGCTTCCCGTCCACTGATCGCGCTTATCCTCCACGGTCCGGTCGTGAAAGACAGCAGAAGCTCTAGTGGAAGCGGTGCATCCTCTGTGGCTGACGATTCGGCGTCTGAGTCACCTAGTAGGCCGTCCTCACGACATGGAAATCAAGAGGGGCAAATCAGTGGTTACCAAACTACGGTCGAAGTTTACTCACTGAAGGAGAGGCGGAGAATGGCTGTCCTGTATCGCACTCCCCTGATACCTCTCACGAGCCCAATCGATAGCCCCATGTTTCAGCCTCCACCTCCAGTAGGCGACTTCGTCATTGATGCGAGGGGGAAGTTTGTTGTTGTGGCGTCTGGTGCAAGTGGAGAAGTCTTCGTATTCGCGCCTTACCACGAAGGTCACTCTGAGTATGCAGAGCGATTCCGCTGCATCGGTAAACTGTGGACATCCGTTCAGAATCGGGAACGGGCCATACATTCAGGCGGTTCCAGTGCCGTTGACGGCAGCCATGACGAGATTCCTCCTGAGAAGTATGGCTTGCCTGTGTTTTCGCTCTCCGATCGTTGGCTCGCCGTCACCCCACCAGCGTCAAGCGCGCTCTACCCTGTCAACGGTATAGCCCTGACTTCACCTTACTACGAGCGCGCTCCGGGCCTTGGGCACCACAGCGTACCGCCTCAGCCATCTCCCAACTGCGCTGTGGATGTGCCCAACGAAGCAGGCTTGATCGATAGACTTACCAGGGAGGGAACACAAGTTGCAATCAAGGGTGCACGTTGGGCCACTGAGAAGGGAATGCAGGCTTTCAAGAGCTACATGAACAAGGGCCAGCAAGGAGCTAACGTGCCATATGGTCAAGATCCCATGCAGCATTACTTTCCACCGACCCATGGCCACAACCAGACTCAGCCAAGACAAGAGGCATCTGTGATCTCCGTCTATGATCTGCAGAGACTGGCAGACGCAGAGGAAACGAGGAATAAGAACGCACTTCATCCGGTCGCCACTATACCCGCGGCTCTCGGTTGCAGCTTCATGTCATTCGCCCCCAGCGGTCTTATGCTCATGACTGTGAGCAAGAAGGGCGACTATCAAGATGTTTGGGACCTGAAGCGCATGAACTTCCGAAGAGCACGTAAGACGTTAAGGGAACAGCCAACAGGACCTTACGTACGACAAGTCGCTCGCTTCACCAGAATGACTGTTGCGAACGTCATCGATGTTGTTTGGTCTGCCCCTCGAGTCGACAAACTGGCTGTCATCACGGACAAGGGAACAGTGCACATGTTCCCGATGCCTGCGTCGGCCTTCCAATGGCCACCAGCTCGGCGCATTCGTCCAGCTGCACCAGCCCCACCAAAGGATGTCGCGTCCCCCACAGGTCCCGCTGGTGTGATGAACTCAGCAATGCAAGCTGTCAATAGCGCTAGGCCTTGGTTTGATGCTGTTCGCGCTAAGAACAGCGTCGGCGGAACTCGATTCAGTCTCAGTGGCTTGGGTGTAACCCCTGCCGCTAGCGCAAAGTCCGGCAAAGCCGTCGCTGCCAATGTAGGCAAGTCAATCAACAACATCCGGCATGCCGGCGACAACAAGATGACACTTCCGTCATCGCCTAGCGGTATCAAGCCTTACAGCGTACGCTGGCTTTCTGGTAGAGGACGAGGTTCGATCGCACTAGCATCCGGCGGTGTACTTCAGATCTGGAGGGTGCAGATGAGAGCTGCGACAGGCAAGGGAAAATCATCGCATACTGCGTCCATAACCAAGAAGAAGACAGTGGAGTTCGGACTTGCTCCCATCCCGGACACCGCGCTGCCACCCTCCATCACGGAGCAACTGTTCCCGCAACCCGGTGATCCGGAGCCAACACTTGACTGCTATGGTGACTGGCTTCCTCGCGCCTTGCCTTCTCGCAAGCCTGCCGTGCCATCTCTCGCACCACTCAGCTTCTCCGAGATTGAGACGAACCCTCCTTACCAGCCCTTCTACACCGACAAACGTGTCACGCGTTTTGTCTACTCCAGACAAGCACCCGAGGTTCAAGAGAGTAGCAGCGAATACCAGCCCTCGTTACCGGCACTTATCTCCGATCTCCATCACGAAGATAGCTCGCCATGGCTCTTTGGTGAGACCGTAGAGGGAACACGTATCTCCACGCCAATCACTCAGGCGTATGACTCTGGAGAGGATGACATCACGGGCGTTGCCGCCAGGATCGAGAACAAGCTTGTTCTTCGAGACGGCGAAGAGGAGGTAGAGCAGGTTGTCGTCACGACACGACGTCGGCGCGTGAAGAAGGAGGGTATCGACGGCGACGAGGAGGGTTTCTTCGAGGACGATTGCGAGGTGTTGGATTTCGCAGAGGATAGGGTATGAGCGTGTACAGAGAGTCGCTTTGCTTGTCTGTCATTCAACATGTCCTTCCACATATCACCCCTACGTTCGCTACCACATTTGCATCAGATCGGGCGTTGTCATCTTGGGTAAGGCGCAGCAATAGGCGCCGGCGTTTCTTCTTTTTGGGTCAGGAGGAATTCGCATCATTAGGATACCACGCAGCCGACAGCGGCCCTCGGCTTGCAACATCAATACACAAATTAGATAGCCAATAGATGGATTAGGAATATCAACCACGCTTTATTTCGAACGACAGATGGGTTTAAATGATGTGCTTGCAGTCTAACCTTGCTTCGTATATGGCCGTCTTTACTCCATGATCCTGTCTTTAACTCCGCTTATCCCCGTCCGCCGACTAACTCCATCATGTAGGATGGTCGGCAGCGGATGGTCGGGGGAAATACTAGGTTTCTATCAGAGTATCGGAGGTGCTCATTGGATGCATGC